CCCCAAAACCCCAAAACCCCAAAACCCCAAAACCCCTATTTCACGCCTGAAGGTTGAAATATCTGAATTAATTAAATAGAAGATGGAGAAATATACCAAAGATCAATTAGTGGCCAAGTTTAAAGAACAGAGCTATTCCCAGGTGGTTTCCATGCTACCTCAGGAAAGCTTGGAGCAGCTCCCTGAGATCCTTCAGGAAGAGAGCCAGCAGCCGCTGGATGTTGGGGCTGATTTTGAAGTGATTTTGGAAGGGATTAATAAGTTTAAAAGAAATGTAAGGTGATGAGTTATTGTATAGGCGTTTAGAGGGAGAAGAGTAGCAAGAAGAGGGTATAGAAATGGTTTTAGAGGCTTCGGAAGAGGCAGAAGAGGTGATAGGTGAGTTTAAAATTGAAATTGATACAAAATGAGTATAAATAGACCGTATCTTGGATTATGAGAAGATGGTTTAGATTTTAATAACTTTGGATTCATAGATATTACGGAAAAGGAGACTTAAGAGGTGAAGTTCCTGAAGAAGAAAAGACACAAGAGAAAGAATTTATCGAAGAAAACAAAATCTTTAATGGAATGGAGGATCTCTCAAATCACAGTGACGAGTTAATAGACCCAGATACTTTAGATAAAAGTGATGTCCATACTAAACTCAAACAAATTTAACACCGCTGCTCAAGAAATTCAAATTCCCCAAAACAAAGTTTCACAGGATGAGGAAAAGCCAAAATAATAAGCCAAAAAATAAAGTTTTCGTGCCGAAAACATTCTTAAAGCAATTCGTAAGATTTTTTACTAATTTCTAGCCTGGCATTGAAATTTAGTGATGAAGTTAACAAACAGACTCCTGAAATGAATATTTCAGAACAAGAAGTCAGAATTTCTCCAGATTCTATAATCCAAGAATGCTCGATCATTCATAAGATAGAGCCTCAAGAGGAAACTCTGACTAAAGAAGATCAGCCTCCTATCGAAGAGGAACCTCAAGAAATTTCTCATGTAAAAACCCCTCAGCAACAAGAGGTAGAAAAAGAAGCAAAAGCTCAAAAGAAAAGAGAGAAAAGAAAGCGACAAAAACAGAACAAGAAGGAGCAAAAGAGGCAAGAACAACAAGAAGCAGGCCATTCTGAGGCTCAAATAGACTCTTCTGAGCCCACCACTGAAGAGGTCAGCCCTGATGTAGAGAAGATCAAAGAGCCAATTACCCCTAATGAAACTAAAGATCTGTCAAAAGAAGAGACCCCTCCAATCAACCAATGGGATAATACTTCTGATAACCTTGAAAACGAATGGGGGATTGAAAGAAAACAGAAAGCTCCAAGCGATCATGATTCTGACTCTGGCTGGGGTCCCAAAGAAGAAACTAAAAGAAGCTATGACTCCTCAGACAATGAACACAAAGAAGATAAAGGAAATTGGGATGCAGAAGATAGCTCAGATCAAGATGATGAAACAGAGAATGGAGATAACTGGGGAATTCAGGGAACTCAACACTCTCATAAAAAGCAATCAAATGACAGGAAACCTCCTCAGAAAAGGACTCAAAAAGAATCTGCACAGGTCAACAAGAAAGATTCATCAAAGCCAAGCCAGAAAGCTAAGAAAAGTGCAAAGAAGGAGATGACTAATCCCAAACCCGCCATTTCTCCATCAGTCCAAAAGGCTAAAAAGAAGCAGAAAAAGGTTGAAAAAGAAGCTGAAATGAACTTTGATAGTCTCCTAGAGCCAATAGAAGAAAAGAAGAATCCAGTCGAGTTTGAATCAGTAAAGCCTAAAGAATTTGAATACGAACGGAAAATAAAAGAAGAGCAGATGAAAATCCAGAAGGAGAATGAAGATAAGATTGATCCTACCCAAATATGGGGCAATAGCGGCTCTGTGAAACAGAAGCCAAACCCGACTAAAAATACACAAAAAGAAGAACATTTTCAAATCACCAAGCCCAAAAATCCCGGCTTTTCGAAATATGAAGTATGCAATTACGCTAAAATTTAGAAACAGAAGGTAGCAGAGAAGGAAGTCCAGAAGCCATTGCCTAAAGAAAAGAGTAATATTCTTGCTAAATTATAGCCAAAAAAATCTCCTAAAGGAAAGGGTGAAGAGCTAATCAAGTATTCTAAAGGCCAAGCTAATCCTCAAAAATCCAAGAAAAACAAGAAGCATAAGCCTCAAAGAGCAGAACCTGAAATCCCTGATGGTGTAGTCATAGACCCTGTCTTGATCAAAGAAGATGCAAAAGTCGTAGAAGCCAAACCAACTTCAAAGAAGAATCCAGCCCCAGCTAAGAAGCCAGACCCTGAACCTGAAGATGATCTTCTTGCTCAACTTCTTCGTGAAGAAGAGGAAGAAAAGAAGAAGAAGCTAGAAGCTTCTAAAAAGGCTGCTCTCAAGAAACAGAAGAAGATAGACCAGGTCAACCAAAAGATCATTGAAGAGGAGCAGAGAGTAAAGGCCGAGCAAGAACTCGCCAAAAAGAAAAAGGCGGAATATCGTAGAAACAAGAGAAAGAAGGGTAAGCAAAACAAAGACCAAAATCCAACCACTCAAATTCCTCCGAAAGAAGAAAAGAAAGTCGAAAAACAGATATGTTCGCTGGGTAGTGAACGAATCAGAAAAATGGAACAAGAAGCGTACATAATTGAGCAAAAGGATAAAGCTGTCGTTAAGACTAGAAAGAAGCAGCGTAAAAATGCCAAGAATCCGAAGAATCTGAAGAATTCGAAGAAGTAAGCTTAGTCGCTGACTTATAGCCCATCGAGCACTGGACCTTTAACAATGGAGGAGATTTTTGAACTTGATAAGCAGAAGATGGCTGAAGAGAAACAGCTAGCTCAGAAAAAGAAGCAGGAGGAATATGACCAGAAGATGAAACCTCTTCTAGGCATGATCGGAAAGCCCAAGTAGGCAGCCTGGCTGCTCTAGACATGCACTATGTAACTAAGGAGGGAGCGATTGTATGGTAATTCTATATGAGTTAAATGAGCCGGGGTTTTGGGGTTTTGGGGTTTTGGGGTTTTGGGG